TGTAGTAAAATATTAATAATAAAAAATCTTGCAATCATTAACATTTGTGCCATAACTGAAGAATGACTGATAAAATCTACTTCAAATTTCCACTACTGGTGTTATTTCTTGAACACAAGACTTATGCTGCCACTGGCTGCCATAACTTCCAATCTCCCGCAAGAACAAAAAGGCAGGGACAGGACAAGAGGGGCAGTAATAGAGGTAGTAGTAGTAGTAGTAGTAGTAGTAGTAGTAGTGGACTCAGTCAAAGGACAAGAAAGAGTAGCACTGCAGGGGAACTAAGGGCCCACAAGGGGAGGAAAAAAATTACGGGAGAGAGGAGGGGTTAAGTAAAGGACCAAACACCCAATGCAAAAGAAAACCCAAAAAGACTAAGAGACATACAAGGGAAGCTGTGTATAAGGAACGATTCAACTAGACAGCGACTGTGAAAGTTAGAAATATGGTAGACAGTTCTAGCAGAAGACCAGTCAATAGGATGACTGTGATCTTTGACATGAAAGAAAAGAGAATTGTTGGTGTGGAAAATACTGTATACTTTCAGCAAATACAGTGAATTTTGTATGTAAATTGATGGAATATATTGTAGTTAATAAAAATTAATTTTTAAATAAAAAAAGAAACCAGCAACGGTGCGAGCGTCGCTTGGGAGAGAGGCCATTGTTGTGTTTTGAACTGGGCAAGAGAAACGTAAGGAAAAATTGGAAGAATTTTCGTTGCCCTAGTGGTTAAATCGTGTTTAAAACCTCTCAAATAGGAGCAGGAATTGTTGGATTTGCAGTCCTGCAGAATGAGAGAATTAGGCGACTGGACAGGACTCTGTAATTAGATGGCAGGATTAAATTAACCCAGGTGATGTCTATTTATGTTGAAATTCTGGCCAGTATTTTCTATATATTTTTGGCAGGGGTTTGTGTATGACACTAAGTATTCTCCAGACAAATTGGTAAGTGTTATTATTATAAATTCTCCTTCAGTGTATATGTAGTCATTTATTGAATTTAACATACAGTCCACATATTCATATTAATGTTTTACCATAATTCCTGGGGATGTATACTTCATTTGAAATTAATGTAGGTCCAGAGTAACTTGTGGAGTTATGGGGAGTAGGTATCGAAGGGGGACTTTTTTTGCAACCTAGGATGTCCTAAAATTCCTACATGTCTCTGTAATCTTGATAAAGAATAATTATCTTTGTTGCTTTTATTAAATTACTGGAATGTATCTAATAAGATTCATCCAGGTAGTTTTAATTTTCCATAGTTGGTGTCAACAAGCCTAACCTTACTTTTGTTCCCCCTGAGTCTGTCAGAAAGAGGAAGGCCGTTTTCTTAGACCATTCATACATTTTCAAAACTCGTATTTGATACGTAGTAGGTTGTTGTAATGGAGTAATGAAATCTTACATTTTTCTGCCGAAGCAGCTAGTTTATTGTTCAGTTTATCCATCCTGAGGACGGTAGAGCAAGATACACAAAAGGCTTAAGAACTAGACCCCAAAAGAGTTTACAGGAGCACATCTGCAGTTGTAACTACAGTTCACATATCTGTTGCAACAAATTCAGGAAATTTGTTTAATATATTTAATACCTTATTTTCATTAAAGAAATATATATTGACATATTACATAAGTTATTATTCTATCTCTCAATTCATTCCTAAATAAGTGGACAAAGCACAAGATAGCGATCATAAGGTTGGCCACATACTTTGCATTTGGTTTGATCATGTGTGTGTCTGCCAAAGTTCCACAGGTACAGGTAAACAAGTTTAAGCTCAGCTTCAATATCAGTCAATCTATTCACATCGCAATTTTCCCTATGAACACATTTATCTACGTACATGTTATTATAGTGGGTTATAGAACTACTCAGACATGTAACTACATTCCTATTACATTCACTTCCATTATTTACTCTTTTCTAATATTATTCTTAATTCTAGATACATTGAGGTTATATTCTACATTTTCCATCAGATTACTTTTCTTGGCTAACGAATCACTTTTATAATTAAAGAGTAATCCAGTGTGTGATGGGATCCATAACAATTGTACATTAATTCCATTTTCGAAGCTTTGTGAGTATCTAAATCTGGCTTCTCCAAAAATTATGTTGCTAGTCATTATGTGAATCAAGAGCTTTTAATAAGGACATAGAATCAATATTTTATTTTATTAATAATAAGAAGCATTTTAAATATAAGACAATTAATTATTTTTATTTAATATAAAACCTTATTTACATTATTAACTGAAAGGCACTGATTCGTTGTACAAAAAATGTTGATAATACACAGGCGATGCAAACCTTGTCTCAATTCATCTATTTAGCTCTATTATCAATTTATTTCACATTGTTCTCATAGGAATAAAAAAATAATAGCAGAAATATTTTCTTTGACTTAAATCTTATTTTCTTAAATGAAAATATAGGTTATTTGGGAGCTAAAAGTGTTGGAATTATTCATAGCTTGAGAGAGGATTTGGACACTGCGGCGTAATGAGTTGGGTCTCGGTAATAACCTGGGGTTTGCTGGAGTGAGTTAGTTCTCAGTAATAACTCGGGGTTTGCTGTAGTGAGTTAGGTCTCAGTAATAACCCAGGATTTTCTGTAGTGAGTTAGGTCTCTGTAATAACCTGGAGTTTGCTGTAGTGAGTTAGTTCTTAGTAATAACTCGGGGTTTGCTGTAGTGAGTTAGGTCTCGGTGATAACCGAGGGTTTGCTGCAGTGAATTATGTCTCAGTAATAACCCGGGGTTTGCTGTAGTGAGTTAGGTCTCAGTAATAATCCAGGGGTTTGCTGTAGTGAGTTAGGTCTCAGTGATAACCCAAGGTTAGGTGTAGTGAGTTAGGTCTCGGTAATAACCCGGGGTTTGCAGTAGTGAGTTAGGTCTCAGTAATTACCATGTTTTTGCTGTAGTGAGTTAGGTCTCAGTATAATAACCCAGTGTTTGCTATAGTGAGTTAGGCCTCAGCAATAATCCTGGGTTTGCTCTAGTGAGGTAGGTGTCAGCAATAACCCGGGGTTTGCTGCAGTGGGTTAGGTGCCTGTAATAACCCAGGGTTTACTGTAGTGAGTTAGGTGTCAGTAATAACCCTGGGTTTACTGTAGTGAGTTAGGTCTCAGTAATAACCCTGGGTTTGCTGTAGTGATTTAGGTCTCAGTAATAACCCGGGGTTTGCTGTAGTGAGTTATATGTCAGTAATAACCCGGGGCTTGCTGTAGTGAGTTAGGTGTCAGTAATAACCCAGGGTTAACTGTAGTGAGTTAGGTGTCAGTAATAACCCTGGGTTTGCTGAAGTGGGTTATGTCTCAGTAATAACCCTGGATTTGCTGTAGTGAGTTAGGTGTCAGTTATAACATTGGGTTTGCTGTAGTGAGTTAGGTCTTAGTAATAACCCAGGGTTTGCTGTAGTGACTTAGGTCTCAGTAATGACCTGGGGTTTGCTGTAGCTAGTTAGGTCTCAACAATAACCTTGGGTTTGCTGTAGTGAGTTAGGTCTCATTATTAACCCGGGGTTTGCTGTAGTGAGTTAGGTCTCAGTAATAACCCGGGGTTTGCTGTAGTGAGGTAGGTCTCAGTAATAACCCGGGGTTTGCTTTAGTGAGGTTAGGTGTCAGTAATAACCCTGCGTTTGCTGTAGTTAGTTAGGTCTAAGTAATAACCCTGGGTTTGCTGTAGTTAGTTAAGTCTCAGTAATAACCCTGGGTTTGCTGTAGTGAGCTAGGTGTCAGTAATAACCCGGGGTTTGCTCTAGTGAGTTAGGTGTCAGTAATAACCCAGGGTTCACTGTAGTGAGTTATGTGTCAGTAATAACCGTGGGTTTGCTGTAGTGAGTTTAGTCTCAGTAATAACCCTGGGTTTGCTGTAGTGAGTTAGGTGTCGGTAATAACCCAGGGGATGGTGGGGTGAGTTAGGTGTCAGTAATAACCCGGGTTTGCTGTAGTGAGTTAGGTGTCAGTAATAACCCGGGGTTTGCTGTAGTGAGTTAGGTGTCAGTAATAAACCAGGGTTAACTGTAGTGAGATAGGTGACAGTAATAACCCTGGGTTTGCTCTAGTGAGTTAGGTCTCAGAAATAACCCTGGATTTGCTGTAGTGAGTTAGGTGTCGGTAATAACCCTTTGTTTGCTGTAGTGAGTTAGGTCTCAGTAATAACTCGGTGTTTGCTGTAGTGAGTTAGGTCTCAGTAATAACCCGGGGTTTGCTGTAGTGAGTTATGTGTCAGTAATAACCCGGGGTTTGCTGTAGTGAGTTAGGTGTCAGTAATAACCCTGGGTTTGCTGTAGTGGGTTAGGTCTCAGTAATAACCCTGGATTTGCTGTAGTGAGTTACGTGTCAGTAATAACCCTGGGTTTGCTGTAGTGAGTTAGGTGTCAGTAATAACATTGGGTTTGCTGTAGTGAGTTAGGTCTCAGTAATAACCCGGGGTTTGCTGTAGTGAGTTAGGTCTCAGTAATAACCTGGGGTTTGCTGTAGCGAGTTAGGTCTCAACAATAACATTGGGTTTGCTGTAGTGAGTTAGGTCTCAGTAATAACCCGGGGTTTTCTGTAGTGAGTTAGGTCTCAGTAATAACCCTGGGTTTACTGTAGTAAGTTAGGTCTCAGTAATAACCCGGGGTTTGCTGTAGTGAGTTAGGTGTCAGTACTAACCCAGGGGGTTTGCTATAGCGAGTTAGGTGTCAGTCATAACCCTGAGTTTGTTGTAGTAAGTTAGGTCTCAGTAGTAACCCGGGGTTTATTGTAGTGAGTTAGGTCTCAGTAATAACCCGGGGTTTGCTGTAGTGAGTTAGGTGTCAGTAATAACCCAGGAGGTTTGCTGTAGCGAGTTAGGTGTCAGTCATAACCCTGAGTTTGTTGTAGTAAGTTAGATCTCAGTAGTAACCCGGGGTTTGCTGTAGTGAGTTAGGTCTCAGTAATAACCCGGGGTTTGCTCTAGTGAGTTAGGTGTTAGTAATAACCCAGGGGGTTTGCTGTAGCGAGTTAGGTGTCAGTTATAACTATGGGTTTGCTGTAGTGAGTTAGGTCTCAGTAATAACCCTGGGTTCGTTGTAGTAAGTTAGGTCTCAGTAGTAACCCGGGGTTTGATGTAGTGAGTTAGGTCTTAGTAATAACCCTGGTTTTGCTGTAGCGAGTTAGGTGTCAGTTATAACCCGGGGTTTGCTGTAGTGAGTTAAGTCTCAGTAATAACCCTGGGTTTGCAGTAGTGAGTTATGTCTCAGTAGTAACCCGGGGTTTGCTGTAGTGAGTTAGGTCTCAGTAGCAACCCGGGGTTTGCTGTAGTGAGTTAGGTCTCAGTAATAACCCGGGGTTTGGTGTAGTGAGGTAGGTCTCAGTAGCAACCCGGGGTTTGCTGTAGTGAGTTAGGTGTCAGTACGCTGGTCTGATCTTCATCTCTGTCCTCTTGAGAGAGTAGTGATAACCACGGAAAGGTTGCCAGTTGACACCATCAGCATAAGAGTCATGGGCACCATTATGGTACTTACCATTCAGGTTGGATGAATGGCATTTTCCATACCACCAACCACCAAGATACCTGAAATAAAAATATTGAAATTTAAATATTTATAATATTTTAATAATAAAAACATGTATGAAAAAAAAGACAGTGAAATTCGTTGATTAATTAAGATAATAGGTTGCAAGAGAAGGCATGAAAATTTAAGTTTCTTAAGAAATTCATAAACTTTCTTACAGAATTATGAAGAGTTTGAAATATAATATAAATTATTAAAGAACATTGAGAAATATTAAAAGCTCATATTTTAGAGATAAAGATAAAGTTAAAAACATGATTTCTTTGTAATGTTTACAATGTGTAATTACAACTTTGATTTGTTAAGTACTAAGAAACTTACTACTATCCCTGACGGTGAGCCTTAAGTGCTTCTCTGATATTTTTCTTTTATGCTTTCTTCCTTCATATATTCATTTGTAACTTAACAACGTCACATCAGACCGTATTCAACTTTTCAATGCTAATTTACTGTACCTGTGGAAGGGTTCATCCAGCTACTGACACTGTGATCAAAATTATGTAGTACATTCATGAAATTTCATTTGCATGCGATAACTGAATAATGACTCTTCTGATTGGCTTCAAACATTCAGAGAAGAGTTAATTGGGATTGCTGCTGGAATGAGTTGGTACCAATTTGACGACACTTTTATACAGTGTGGATTTTATCCCGTCGAATAACGTAAAATGTAATTAAGTATATCTCGTACGAATGGCATAAGTATTTAATAGCTTCTGGATTTTAAGACACTACTTAGTAAGATTTTTATCATGTAGATTAAAAAAAAAATTCAACATAATAAAATAATTGAAAGTATTAGTAACTGACACAATCTGTGATAATCGGAGAACGTCTTTCTGAGCGGCTTCAACATTGAAGCATTGATGTGTTTAGTTGAATGTAAGATTTGTGTTATGTTATTGAGCTGCAGTGATATCAAATAACCTATTTTATGAATCGTAGAATTAATACAGATTCTTTAACTAAACAAGGCATCTTTTGACTGATATCCAAAAAAATATGCTGATGGATTTGATAAGAAAGATGATGCCTCTTAAGTCTGAATATGTGCAAATCTAAAATTTTACTGACATTGTTAAAAACTTCAGAACTGTTGGATTCAGAACAATTACTACGAAATGTCTTTTCTGATATTCTTCAAACATTGACTGAAAATGGGCTTTATTGAAAGAAATCATGGAATTCACTTTGAGCTCTCTAAATTTTCTATGTCAAATTGTTAAATAATTATTTTTCCATGAAATAAATAACAGATGTTCCTTCCTATCGGTTTCAAACCTAAGGCTCAGTGTATATTAATTAAAAATATTTTAATTAATTAATGCTGTGTAAGTGCTCATTGAGCATTTTTTTTGTAAATTATATCATATTCGACTTGTATGTTTTATACAAAAGTTTAATAAGCACAGTGGTTCTAGTCTTTTCCCCTAACTTCCTCCAAGACTTTCATTTATACTTTCAGAACACTTTATCAGATCGGTTTCAAATTTTCAACTCTAGTAAATTATAAACAGAGGCAAGTGAACCTGACTTCCCAGTTATATTTAGATAATATACGACAGTGATTTTCAAGCGATGGCTTCGGAAAGCCTCTTCTGGCGACCATCAAAATTACGACACTCTTGTATCCTACTTAGAAGAGAGTTAATATTGTTAATAAAGTGTATATATGTAATTTTGACACTTTACATTTCGAAATGGTGCATCACCTGCGGTCATACCTGCCTAAGCTCTTGTTGTAGTGTTTTAGAATCTCAGGTTCAGGTGTTGAAGAAGGAGATTCTACTTCTTCAGGAGGAAAATAGGAGGCTGAAGCTTCGCATAGATGAGTTTGGGAATGTGAGAAGGATTTAGCTGGTAAGGAAGGAATGGTCACCAGCAGTGATAGTGGCAGCAGCTTTAAGTGGCAAGTGGTTCACAGTTCAGGAAGAAGGAAGATGAGGAGAGTTAATAGAGAAGATGTGAAGGTAGGAAATCGATTCTCTGTTCTCCAAGACGAGTGTACTTCAGTGGTTAGTGATGTTAAAGGTTCCACTGATTACCCTGCTAATCAAGGTAAGAGTATTTTAATAGCAGGCGATTCTCAGGTAAGATATATGGACCATGCATTTTATAACAGAGACAGAAAGGTCAGACAGAGAGTGTCTTCCTGGAGCTGGTGTTGGTGAAATAGTCAGAAGGTTAGATAATATTATGGCAGGTAATTGGAACAAGCCCATTATCTGTCTTAGTGCTGGGGGTAATGACATTGAGAAGGGCAGGAGAGAGGAGCTGCTAGATAAGTACAAGTCAGCCATAGAAGTAGTTAGGTCTAAGGGAGAGATGCCAGTCATATGCAGCATCTTGCCTAGAAAAAGAGTGGGCAATGAATGGATGTCTAGGGCAATTGGAATAAATTGCTGGCTGTACAGGTACTGCAAGGAACTTGCAATCCCATTCATTGATAACTAGGACCTATTCATTGGCAGACGTGATATGTATGCAAGGGATGGGGTTCATCTCTCTGGGAATGGAGTGGTTGCATTAGCCAATTCAATTGAGAGGGTAATTGATGACTTGTCTAGGAATTTAAACTGATAGACTATAGAGGTATGGGTGTTTGTTGAAGACACTCAGGCTTCAGCATTAGGGTTAAAAACAGCAGTTATTACCGGGATACCTCAGGGATATGTTTAAAAGACAATATCCAAAATAAAGTTGCTAGTAAGGGCAAATCAATTGATAAACAAACAAAGAGAGATAGTAGAGGGCAACGAGTGACTGGCTCCCTTAAGGTTTACTATACAAATAGTAGGAGTCTAAGAAATAAGATAGATGAGCTAAGATTACTTGCAAGTGTAGGTAATATAGATATTATTGGTATAACAGAGACCTGGTTCAACCTGAAAGATAGAGAAATGCCTTCTGAATGCAACATACAGGGGTATAAACTATTCCACACTAATAGGGTCAACAGGAAGGGTGGTGGTGTGGCGATGTATGCCAGAGAAAATTTAAATTGTTGTCATAGACATGATATAAGATTAGAAACATCGAACACAGAATCGGTTTGGCTACAGTTTCTCGAGGGACGTGACAAATTAATTTTGGGTGTGATTTATAGGCCCCCAAACCTTGATAGGGAGCGCAGTAAGCTGTTATGGGACGAAATTCATAAGGCATCTAGATATGAAAATGTTGTGATAATGGGAGATTTTAACTTGAGACAAATTGATTGGAACAATATGACAGGAAATCTTGAGTCTAGTGACTTTCTTGATACGATTCAGAATTGCTTTTTAGAACAGGTTGTGACAGAACCAACTAGAGGAAACAATCTGCTTGACTTGGTTCTTGCCAACAAAGATTCACTAATTAATAATCTTGAGGTTAATGATATGCCTCAGAAAAGTGATCTCAAATCACTTAGTTTCAATATATCATGGAATTACCCAGAAAATTGCAATCAAATCTCTGTCCCAGATTTTCGCTTGGCGGACTTAATGGGACTGAAAAATTACCTGGGTGGGCTAAATTGGGATACCCTGACTATGTGTCAGGTAGGTGATCTTGTTTTCCAATATGATGTTTTTCAGAGCATAGTTCCAGCTTCCCAGACAACTTTTGTTCCGAGTAGGGAAATTAGATCTAACAAAAATGATCCCAAATGGATGAACAATAGATTAAAACATCTCATTGGTCAAAAGAGAGGCATATATAGGTGTATCAAAAGAGGGGATGGGCAGTTAAGAAATCAAAATATTCAATTAAAGAGAGAAATAAAGAAAGAAATAAGAAAAGCAAAAAGAAATTATGAGGCTAAGGTCACAAGGGATTCAAAGACTATCCCAAAAGGGTTCTTTCAGGTATACAGAAGTATGATTAGTGTGGCATGCAAAGAGTATGTAACCTTTATTCGGCGCATGTACACACCCTCATTCACAGGCTATCTCCCCCAACCAGCGAACCAGGTGACTGAGGGTTGACGATGGAGCCCCGTCGTTCAACCAGTAACCAGGTTCCAGCCATTAAGAAGAGGGTTTTGGCAATCACAGAGGTTATGGGTACCACTCTCCTGTCTGCCCTTGTCATTCCCATTCTAGAGCTGGTTGGAGCACGGTCTGCTCTCTAGTGGCTTCTATTCTGCCTTGCTTACCGTGGAGTGCACTAATACCTATCACTGTACATAGTGTATATAGTGTACATACTTCTGTTCTAAATTGGGGAAGGATAATATAAGTCAAAACTTTTCTGCTGTGTTTATTTTGCTCCCTTTACACCCAGGATAACAGGCCATTTGGAATCCTGGGTTGTAATAATTAGGGACAACGATTGGCCCACGTAAGAGTAACTCTGGTCAAATCACTGACAGTGATAGGGATATGTGTGAAATTCTCAATACCTACTTCTTCTCAGTTTTCGCCCAGGAAAATACTAGCGATGTTCCTGAAATAATAGATTATGTAGAACAGGATAATAAATTATGCTGTTCTACATAATAAACTATGCACGATTGCGGTCATCAGACAAATAGAGAAACTAAAACCTAACAAATCCCCAGACCCTGATGAACTGTTTGCAAGGGTGTTAAAGGAATGTAGAGAGGAACTTAGCATACCTTTGGCTAATCTTTTTAACATATCACTACAAACTGGCATAGTGCCTGATAAGTAGAAAATAGCAAATGTAATACCTATTTACAAGGCAGGTGACAGGTCCTTGGCTTCGAACTATAGACCAATAAACCTTACCTCCATAGTGGGAAAATTTATGGAATCAATAATTGCCGAAGCAATTCGTACCCAAATTTGACAGACACAGATTGATTAATGAATCTCAACACGGTTTTACAAAGGGGCATTCCTGTCTTACGAATTTACTAACTTTTTTCACTAAGGTGTTTGAGGAGGTAGATCATGGTAATGAATGTGATATTGTGTACATGGACTTCAGTAAGGCTTTCAATAGAGTTCCACACAAGAGGCTATTGAGGAAACTTAAGGCGCACGGAATAGGAGGAGAAATTTTTTCCTGGGTAGAGACATGGCTGACAAATAGACAGCAGAGAATTTGCATAAATGGGGAGAAATCAGAATGGGGGCACGTCACAAGTAGTGTTCCTCAGAGGACAGTGTTGGGCCCGTTGTTGTTCACAATTTACATAAACGACATAGATGAGGGAATAAATAGCGACATAAGCAAATTTGCTGATGACACCAAAATAGGCCATCCAATTCATTCTAATGAGGACATTAGAGCACTGCCGGATGATTTGAATAGACTGATGCAATGATCGGAGAAGTGGCAGATGCAGTTTAATATTGACAAATGCAAAGTTCTAAATGTTGGACAGTTAAATAACCATGCCACATATAAACTAAATAATGTAGATCTTAATACTACTGATTGTGAAAAGGATTTAGGAATTCTGGTTAGCAGTAATCTAAAACCAAGACAATAGTGCAATAGCATTCGAAATAAATCTTGGCTTCATAACTAGAAATAAATTCGAAATAAATTCTTGGCTTCATAACTAGAAGTATAAATAATAGAAGTCCTCAGGTTGTTTTTCAACTCTATATGTTCTTGGTTAGGCCTCATTTAGACTATGCTGTTCAGTTCTGGTCACCGTATTACACAATGGATATAAATGCTCTGGAAAACGTGCAGAGGAGGATGACAAAGATGATCCCATGTATCAGAAATCTTCCTTATGAGGATAGACTGAGGGCCCTGAATCTGCACTCTCTCGAAAGGCGTAGAATTAGGGAGGATATGACTCACGAACTCGTAATGACACGATTGCAAACAAACCATACCACGGGCGGGGATTGAACCCGCGATCAGAGAGTCTCAAATCTCCAGACCGTCGTGTTAGCCACTGGACCAGCTAGCCACAACAAAATTCGTAAAACTAGGTATATTTCTGCACCATAGGAAGGTTAGCATAGGCACCACTGTGTCCACAAATGCAAGTTTTTACAGAAGAATCTCCAGCTAGCGTGGCCGTGACGAGCTCTAGCTCAAGTCCCCTCAAAGCCGTTAACATGACTCACGAAATCGTAATGACACGATTGCAAACAAACCATACCACGGGCGGGGCTAGCTGGTCCAGTGGCTAACGCGACGGTCTGGAGTTTTGAGACTCTCTGATCGCGGGTTCTATCACCGCCCGTGGCATGGTTTATTAGTAATCGTGTCATTACGATTTCGTGAGTCATGTTAACGGCTTTGAGGGGACTTGAGCTAGAGTTCGTCACGCCCACGCTAGCTGGAGATTCTTCCGTAAAATCTTGCATTGGTGGACACAGTGGTGCCTATGCTAACCTTCCTATGGTGTAGAAACATACCTAGTTGGACGAATCTTGTTGTGGCTAGCTGGTCCAGTGGCTAATGCGACGGTCTGGAGATTTGAGAGTCTCTGATCGCGGGTTCTATACCCGCCCATGGTATGGTTTTTTTTTATGGGGAATATGATCGAGGTGTATAAATAGAAAACAGGAATAAATAAAAGGGATGTAAATAGCGTGCTGAAAATTTCCAGCCAAGACAGGACTCGCAGCAATGGTTTCAAATTGGAAAAATTCAGATTCATGAAGGATATAGGAAAGCAATGGTTTGGTAATAGAGATGTGGATGAGTGGAACAAACTCCGGAGTACAATTATTGAGGCTAAAACGTTGTGTAGTTTTAAAAATAGGTTAGATAAATACATGAGTGTGTGTGGGTGGGTGTGAGTTGGACCTGACTTGCTTGTGCTGCTGGGTCTGGTGCAGTGCTCCATCCTTGAGTGGAGGTGACCAGACTGGGTGGGTCATTGGGCTAATCTGCGGGGGGTGGGTCATTGGTCTAATCCGGGGAGGTGTGGACCTGCTCTGCATGGGTCAGTAGGCCTGTTGCGGTGTTCCTTCTTTCTTATGTTCTCATGTTCCTATCATAATTTTGCTTTAAACAATAAAAATATTTCTCCAAACTATTCTCAAGGATGTCCAAGACAGCTTTCATAATTCTAGTATAACACACTCATGCCGACATCATTTCACTGTTGTCAAGACAGTCAAATGTGTGACTGATAAAAGTTCCTTAAACAGTGAAAATCTCACTTTATTACTTCTATTGCTCTTGATGAGTGATGTTTCCTCTTAATACTGCATAATTTTTTATCACCTTTATCTTGTATTTATATTTTTTCAGGTGTCGTAGGTTATAATTCGTTATTTATATTCACAGAGGACATGCTAACCTCACCTAACCTGAACAAGAAATTTGCTTCACCTCGTATGTGAGAAAATCACAAAAATTTTATGGTCTTTTCTTCTACTAATTTGTGTTATTTGTAATATAGAACTCCTCATTCAATAATGAAGATCTATAAGTAGTGGAAAGTTCTTGGAACTATTGGAGTGATAGGCATCCACTTGCAAATATTATGAAGAATTCCAGATTTTTATTTCCATACAGAGGCTTGAGAAAGCTTCTCCTGACTGGATTCAAACCTTCAATAATAAGTCCCGGATTACTACTGGAGTAAGAATGTTGGAATATGTTAAATACATTTTTAGAATTTTGCGTCATTGTTTCTGAGGACTAATTTGATTATGATTCTTCTAAGCTGCATTCTCCAAGACGAAATATTTATATGATCTGTATTTCTTTCTCTAGACTAAAAAAAAAAAAATTCAAGCAAAAGCTGATTTTGAAATTAGAGTCTCTACAATTTAGTGTTTAGGTGTTACCGAACATAAATATTCTTAAATAACACTAAACCTATTTATATTTTTTTCCATTGGCAGTATCTGTTCAAGCAATTACTAATTACTGATATTATGTTCATATTTAAAACACTAGTAAATAAGTGTAAATGGGTTTAACATACAATACAGCACAGTTTTCTGGAGAAGTGTCTAGATCGTAATTCTTCGCAGAGAACTTCAGATCGTTGACGTTACTGAAGCCATCACCAGCATCTCCAGTGTAACCATTAACTTCTACCTTGAATAAGGAGCTCCTGTCATGGACATAAAAGAATTGGTACTGTGCCCACCGGGTGCTGTTGTCGAAATCCGTTAATTCAAATCGTATCTGGTTGAGAGTTTGATCAGTGAGGGCATGGATATGTTCAAGGCCAAGCCAGAACTCGCCGGAGAGATTACCAAAGCCTAAAGCATACTCCATCCAGGTGCGGTAAAAGTCTTCCTTTGGCAGAATATCTTCGCGACGCTGGATAACAGTCCATCCTCCTTTATTAGTGTCCATATCACAGTAGACACGGACAGGACGTTTGGGGCAGCAGTCATGTGGATAGATGGTGTATATTCCACTGGTCTTGTGACCATGCTCTTGCAGTTCACGACAGTTTCGGTTTTGGAAGCCAAGTCCTGCCCAGAAGAGCTCAGGAAAATTAGCATTGGCAGTGGTGTCATCTGCTGCCACCATCAGTCCCTCGCTGCTAACACCCACTACCACCAGCGTCCACAGCAGCATACACATCTTTCACTTTAACCTAAAAGTAACAGAATATTATTATTTCATTATTGAATTATGCATACAAAGTCATTTTATTATATCTAGAGATAAATGACTGCCATATTAATCCTACCTAAGTTAATTGAAAATTCTTTCGATATTGGTTCTCAGACTAGCATATAAATTAAAACCTAGCAAATCCCCTTTGGTTAGTCTTTTCTTTTACAAACTAGCATAATGCATTATAAATGGAAAACGGTAAATATGATACCTCACTACAAAGCAGGTGACAGGTCTTTAGTTTCGAATTATATACCAATAAGCCAAATCTCCACTGTGTGAAAACTGATGGAATCAATAATTTTCGAGGCAATTTGAACCCACCTTGAAAGCCATAAACTGACTAATGAATTTCAACACGGGTTTACAAAGAAGCGTTAGTGTCTAACGAATGTACCGACTTTTTTCACTAAGGTATTTGATGAGGTAGATCATGGTAATGAATATGATATTGTGTATATAGACTTCGGTAAAACTTCTTATAGAGTTCCATATCAAAGGTTGCTGAGTAAAATAGAGGAACACAGAATAGGGTAAGAATTTTTTTTCTTGGAGGGAGGCGTGGTTGACACATGGCAGCAGAGAGTTTGAATAAGGAAACCAATAATATGTAGAATGAAGTAGAGTTATTGGTGAAAATTGGAAAGCCGGTTATACTAGGTGATAAGGACAATAATAGAGATAGTGGAGGAACAGAAATAGGCAGGAAGGAAAAGAGGAAAATGGGATTCTTAATGCACATTATATAAATAGTCATAGGGCTAGAAACAAGATGGAAAAGTTGAGATTAGTAGTGTGGGCAACATTGAAGTATTTGTCATAACTGAGACATGGTTCAATATGAATAATTGAATGTCCCATTCAGGGTTTAAGTTATTCCACGTTGATAGAAATAACGGGAAAAGAGATGGGGTGGCACTATTTGCCAGAGAACACTTAAATTGTTGCTTAAAACGAGGGTATTAACACTGAAAGACACACACAGTCTAACTGTGTAGTATTTTTCAGTAGGGCATTAAAAATTAATTTTCGGTAAGATTTACGGTCCGCCTAACTTGGATAGGGACAAAAGGAGACTACTCTGGTAAGAAACTGTTAAGGCCACAAGGCACGATAACGTAATTCTTGGAGACTAACTTCAACCGAATTGATTGGAATTCCTTGAATGGGAATCTTGAGTTAGACGACTTCCTGGAGGTAGTTTAAGTTTGTGACAAGGATACCCTTGTTAATAATCTAGAGATTATAGAGGAACTTGGCACGAACGACCAAAATTAATTGCGTTTAGTAGTGAATGAAAGTATGATAAAATGGATAATTCAGTAATAATCCCAGATAATCGCTCAGCGGATTACAAATGGGCATAGAGAACACCTATAACCTGTGGACTACAATAATTAAGAGAACTGTCAAAATGATAGTTTCCTAAACAAGCTGCTCAAAGAATATTTATTATGTTCAGAGAAATTCATCGAACTGAAACGCTCCGAAGCAAATAAAGAGGTTCAAATATCTTTTAGGGCAGAAGAAAGGAATTTATAGACATATCAAAAAAGGTGAGGGCCATCTCATTGATCAATATACTCACATTAAGAGGGAGATTAAAAAAGGGGATAAGAAAAGCTCAGCGGAACTATGAAATTAAAGTTGCCAATGATTTGGAAACAAATCCGAAAAGCTTTACTGAGTATATAGAACAAAGGTTAGAGAAACTTAGGCCCTCTTAAAACTAACTCTGGGCAGCTTACTAAATTCCATCATTATAACAACATGTGTCTTTGCAAACATACAAGGTCTGAAGCCGGCAACAAACAACAAAATTCCTTACATAAATCGACTGCTCACGGAATCAAATGTAATGTTTCCAGCATTCACAGAGACCCATATAACGGATCATTTTGACAACGAAATATAGATCCCATGTTATAACCTATTTAGATGCGACAGAATAAACAGGCAACGGAGGAGATGGGGGTTGGCTTGTACGTCACGGCGTCACTCATTTGCTTAGAACTACTAAACGCCTCAAATGATGTAGCTGAACTTTTCACGGTAAAGATTGAAAACCAAAACCCTGTCATTGTGGTAGTATACAAGCCTCCGGATGCTACTTCCCAGCAATTCCGGGAACATCTTTTGAAAATAGACCACTGTCTAGGAAAATCTCCCAACTCCTCCCCCAAACATCTTGTTACAGAGTGATTTCAACTTTAGACACCTAAAATGGAGAAGTGTGGCAAATAATATTTTAGCAGAGATCACACCAGGAGGCAGCTCAGACGAAAATTCATACACACACGAGCTATTAAATCTCTGCACCAAATTCACCTTAAACCAGCAAATATTAGAGCCAACAAGACTAGGAATTATGCTGGACCTAATCTTCACTAACAACGACTATCTGTTATGTAATATAACCGTATAAAACAAATACACTCAGATCAAAACATAATAGAGGCACAGACATATATGCACAGGAAGAGAGCAGCGAGTCATGGTAAGTGGCGAGGCGCCAGAGTGAGCGCCTGTGACGAGTGGGGTTCCACAGGGGTCAGTCCTAGGACCAGTACTGTTTCTGGTATTTGTGAATGACAAGAGGAAGGAGAAGTCTCCGTATAGTCCCTGTTTGCAGATGATGTAAAGTTGATGAATAGAATCCAATTGGACGAGGACCAGGCAGAACTATAAAGGGATCTGGACAGGCTGCAGGCCTGGTCCAACAATTGGCTCCTGGAGTTCAACCCCACCAAGTGCAAAGTCATGAAAATTGAGGGAAGAGCAAGGAAGACTACAGACGGAGCACAGCCAGGAGGCCAGAGGCTGCAAACAGAACTCGAGGAAAAAGATCTTGGGGTGAATATAACACCAGGCAGCATATGGAAGCCTAGCAATCCTAAGAACATAATTCTGCCATCTTAATAAGGAATCGTTCAGGACCCTGCACACTGCGTACGTTAGGCCCATATTGGAGTATGCGGCACCAGTTTGGAACCCTCACTTAGCCAAGCACGTGAAGAAACTAGAGAAAATGCAAAGGTTTGCAACAAGACTAGTCCCGGAGCTAAGGGATATGTCCTACGAGGAGAGGTTAAGGAAAATCGACCTGGCAACACTGGAGGACAGGGGAGATATGGGGGACATAATAACGACCTATAAAATACTGAGAGAAATTGACAAGGTGGACAGAGACAGAATGTTGCAGAGATGTGACAACGAAACAAGGGGACACAGTTAAGAAGAACATAAGAAAGAAGGAACACTGCAACAGGCCTACTGGCCTATGCGAGGCAGCTCCAATTCTCCCACCGGCTTAAGCCAATGCCTTGACCTAGTGAGGTCAGATACGCCACTTAAGGGAGGAGCAGTGCACCCACTCATGTATTTATCCAACCTATTTTTAAAACTACACTTCATCTTAGCGTCTATGACGGTACTCGGGAGTTTGTTCCACTCATCAACAACTCTATTACCAAACCAGTGCTATCCTCAATCCTTCCTGAATCAGAATTTGTCCAGTTTAAAGCCATTGCCAGTCCTGTCTATGTTAGATATTTTAAGCACGCTATTTACAGCCTTTCTATTAATTCCTGTTTTCCATTTATACACCTCAATCATATCCTCCCCTAATTCTACGCTTTTCTAGAGAGTGTAGATTCAGGGACCTAAGTTGGACGAATCTTATTGTGGCTAGCTGGTCCAGTGGCTAACGCGACGATCTGAAGTTTTGAGACTCTCTGATCACTGGTTCTAACCCCGCCCGTGGTATGGTGTGTTTGCAATCGTGTCATTACGATTTCGTGAGTCATATCCTCCCTAATTCTACGCCATTCGAGAGAGTGCAGATTCAGGGCCCTCAGTCTATATTCAAAGGGAAGATTTCTGATACATGGGATCAACTCTGTCATCCTCCTTTGTACTTTTTCCAGTGCATTTATATCCATTCTGTAATACGGTGGCCAAAACTGAGCAGCACAATCTAAATGAAGCCTAACTAAAGATATATAGAGTTGAAGAACAACTTGAGGACTTCTATTATTTATACTTCTTGCTATGAAGCCAAAGATTCTGTTAACATTATTGCAGACACTAATGCACTGTTGGCTTGGATTTAGATTACTACTAACCAGAACTTCTAAATCCTTTTCGCAGTCCGTCATATTAAGATCTACATTATTTATTTCATATGTGGCTTGGTTATTTTCCTGTCCAGCATTTAGAACTTTGTATTTGTCTATATTAAACTGCATCTACCACTTCTTCGAGCATTGCATCAGTCTATTCAACTCATCCTGGAGTGCTCTAATATCCTCATTAAAATGAACTGGACGGCCTATTTTGGTATCATCAGCAAATTTGCTTATGTCGCTATTTATTCCCTAATCTATGTCGTTTATGTATATTGCGAACAACAAGGAGCCCAACACTGAACCCTGTGGAACACTGCTTGTGAAGTGTCCCGAGTCAAATTTCTCCCCATTTATGCTGCCTATTCGTCAACCATGCCTCAGCACAGGAAAAAATTCTCCTCCTACTTCTTGTGCCTTAGGTTTCCTCAAATAGCCTATGATGTGTAACTCTATTGAAAGCCTTCCTGAACTCCATATACACAATATCATATTCAATACCATGATCTACCTCCTCAGATACCTAAGTGAAGAAAGTCAGTAAATTCGTAAGACAGGAACGCCCCTTTGTAATACCGTGCTGAGGTTAATTAATCAATTTATGGCTTTCGAGATGGCTATGAATTGCTTCGGCAGTTATTGATTCCATAAACTTTCCCACTATGGAGATAATTCTTATTGGTCTATAGCTCAAAGCTAAGCACCTGTCACCTACGTTGTAAATAGGTATTACATTTGCCATTTTTCACTTATTAGGCACTATGCTAGTTTGCAGTGATATGTTGAAAAAATTAGCCAAAGGTATACATTCCTTTAACAGTCTTGCAAGTAGTTCATCAGGGCCTGGGGATTC